AAAAAAAAAAAAAAAGACCTGATAATAACCTGTTTGTGAGGATTTGGGGAAACAGGTGATCTCATTTGTTGTTGGGGGTTGTAAATTGGTACAAAATTTTTGGAGGGCAATTCTGTGAAAACCTATAAAACATTTAAGAGCACATAATCTTTGACCCAGAATTGTCATACTTATAAATTTATTTTACACACACATATGTCTACGAATATATGTACTAAGATATTTCCTGCAATTAGCATTGTTTGTAGTAATAAAAGGCGGACACACATAAATATCCACTAGGAGGGGAATGGTGAGTAAATTGTGACACACCATATGATGGAAAACTATGTTGACTATCTACAGGCAGGTATATTATTACATGAAAATAGCAGGTGCTGAACAGTGTAGAGTGTGTGCTATCATTTGTGTCACACACACACGCACACACACACAGCATATGCTCCAAATATCTCTGCAAAGACACATTAGAACTGTTAAGAGGCTGGGTGCAGTGGCTCACACCTGTAATCCCAGCACTTTGGGAGGCTGAGGCAGGTGGATCACTTGAGGTCAGGAGTTCAATACCAGCCTGGCCAACATGATGAAACCCCGTCTGTACTAAAAATACAAAAATTAGCTGGACGTGGTGGCGCGCGCACCTGTAGTCCCAGCTACTCAGGAGGCTGAGGCAGAAGAATTGCTTGAACCCCGGAGGCAGAGGTCGCAGTGAACTGAGATCATGCCACTGCACTTCAGCCTAGGCAACAGAGTGAGAATCCATTTCCAAAAAAAAAAACCAAAAAAAAAACAGACAAACTGTTAAGAGTGGTTGCCCCTGGGGAGGAAATGGGCAACAGGGAGGCTGACTGGCAAGAGACTTTTCTTTTCCTTTCTTTTCCTTTCTTTCTCTTCCTTTCTCTCATCCTTTCTGTCTTTTCTTTCTTATAGAGTCTTGCTCTGTTGCCCAGGCTAGAGCGCAGTGGCGCGATCTTGGCTCACGGCAACCTCTGCCTCCCAGGTTCAAGTGATTCTCCTGCCTCAACCTCCCAAGTACCCGGGATTACAGGCACCTGCCACTACGCCCAGCTAATTTTTGTATTTTTATTAGAGATGGGGTTTCACCATGTTGGCCAGGCTGGTCTCAAACTCCTGACCTCAAATGATCCACCCACCTTAACCTCCCAGAGTGTTGAGATTACAGGGGTGAGCCATCACACTTGGCCAGGAGAGACTTTACTTTCTTTGCACATGCTTTTGTACTTTGTTTCTCTTTTGAACTGTGTAATAACCTTTTTCCTTTTTTTTTTTTTTTTTTTTTGAGGCAGGGTCTCGCTCTGTTGCCCAGGCTGGAGTGGAGTGCAGTGATGCGATCTTGGCTCACTGCAGCCTTGACCTCCCAGGCTCAAACAATCCCCCCACCTTAGCCTCCTGAGTAGCTGGGACTACAGGTGCTCACTATCATGCTCAGCTGTTTTTTTTATTTTTTGTATTTTTTGTGGAGATGGGGTCTCACCAAGTTGCTCAGGCTGGTCTTGAACTCCCGGGTTTTAGCAATCTTTCCTCCTCAGCCTCCCAAAGTGCTGGGATTACAGGTGTGAGCCACTGTGCCTGGCCCCTTTTTCCTTTTTTTTTTTTTTCCCCCTGGAGAGGGAGTCTTGCTCTGTCGCCCAGGTGCGAGTGCAATGGCGCCATCTCGGCTCACTGCAACCTCCGCCTCCTGGGTTCAAGCGATTCTCCTGCCTCAGCCTCCTGAGTAGCTAGGATTACAGGCACGCGTCACCACACCCGGCTAATTTTTTGTATTTTTAGTACAGATGGGGTTTCACCATATTGGCCACGCTGGTCTCAAACCCCTGACCTCATGATCTGCCCGCCTCCGCCTCCCAAAGTGCTAGGATTATAGGCGTGAGCCACCGCGCCCGGCCCCTTTTTCCCTTTTTTTTTGAGACGGAGTCTGGCTCTGTCGCCCAGGCTGGAGCTCAGTGGCGCCATCTCAGCTCACTGCAACCTCCTCCGCCTCCTGGGTTCAAGCGATTCTCCTGCCTCAGCTTCCTGAGTAGCTGGGACTACAGGCGCGTGCCACCATGCCTGGATAATTTTTTTGGTATTTTTAGTAGAGACGAGGTTTCACCGTGTTAGACAGGATGGTCTCGATCTCCTGACCTCGTGATCTGCCCGCCTTGGCCTCCCAAAGTGCTGGGATTACAGGTATGAGCCACCTCGCCCGGCTCCTCGGCTCCTCGTTTTCCGTTTTTAAGGAGGCTCCTACGGAGTAATGGTGAAGGGGAGAGAAGAGATCCCTGGGGAAACCTTCTCAATTACCTGGGTTCTGAATATCCCCAGTGACTGCACAATACCTCCACTGAAGGTGACAACAGTCCAGAAATGTCGCTTCTGCGGTGAATCCATCCATCGCTGCTGGAAGCCTTGCCCTGTCTTGGCTGTCATACCGTCTGTGGCCAGCAGAGGGTAGCACAGATCCACCAATGTGTTAGTCCCAAGCTTCAGTCATCCCTTCTAGGATTTCCTCCTCAGTGGGCCAAGATGGGAAAGATACCTTCTGCCAAGCCAATGAAATTTACTACGTAATAATTGATTCCATCTTCTCATTTTTTTGTAACTTACAGTTCTGATCGGCATGAGAGAGACAGACAGAGAGAGAGAGAGAGAGAGAGAGAGAGAGAGAGAGAGAGAGAGAGAGAATATGTAGGCTTGCAGAAACAATAATTTTCCACAGAAGAGGTGTTACTTAGCCCAGCTTTATTTCCACCAGGCCTTGGGTGAAGAGTGGCTGGCAATGGCTTGAGAAACCCCAAGGATTGAGGATACAGTCTGGTAACTACTGCATTAGTGGCTCCCCGCCTGGCTTGGGTTTCCAGCTGCAGGGCACGCTCCTACCCTTCTCTTTTCCTCTCACAGAAGTAGTTCTGGGCAAGACGAAGCATGAACAGCTGGTCCCATAGGATGACTTGAAGCAGCCACTCTCCTAGAGGGGTTAAACGTCTGTCCCTCACCAGGCGCGGTGGCTCAAGCCTGTAATCCCAGCACTTTGGGAGGCTGAGACGGGCGGATCACGAGGTCAAGAGATCAAGACCATCCTGGCTAACACAGTGAAACCCCGTCTCTATTAAAAAATACAAAAAACTAGCCGGGCGAGGTGGCGGGCGCCTGTAGTCCCAGCTACTTGGGAGGCTGAGGCAGGAGAATGGCCTATTGGGAAGCAGAGCTTGCAGTGAGCTGAGATCCGGCCACTGCACTCCAGCCTGGGCGACAAAGTGAGACTCCGTCTCAAAAAAAAAAAATTCTGTCCCTCACTAGGCTGCAAGCAGCCCAAGGACTGGGGCATTTCTCATTTGCCACAGAATCTGCAGGACCGAGCACAGTGATGGGCACATAGCTGGTGCTAAGTAAAGGTTTATTGTTCAATTGAAAGAGACAGCCATTGAGGAATCAGGGAATCCATTCTTTAAAAAAATGTTTGTTTGTTTGTTTGTTTTTCATTAAAAAAAGTCTTCCAGACTGGGCGGGGTGCCTCGTGCCTGTAATCCCAGCACTTTGGGAGGCTGAGGCAGGCAGATCACTTGAGGTCAGGAGTTTGAGACCAGCTTGGTCAACATAGCAAAACCCCATCTCTACTAAAAGTACAAAAATGAGCTGGGTGTGGTAGCACGCGCCTGTGGTCCCAGCTACTGAGGAGGCTGAGGCAGGATAATTGCTTGGACCTGTGAGGTGGAGGTTGCAGTGAGCTAAGACTGAGCCACTGCACTCCAGCCTGGGAGACAGCAAGAGACTCCATCTTAAAAGAACAAAAAATCTTCCACAACAGTTATCTTATAGAGACAAGAAGAAAAAAAAGAAGAGAGAAGAAACAAGGAGAGAAGAAGAGGAAGAGGTCCTAGCTAATCTCAAGGGCAAGGACCCAAGGGCAAGGTTCTGGTCTGTCTGGGAGGGAGAATACGGCAGTGTTCAGGGAATGGGTCATTTTCCCTGCATGCCCAAGGAGAATCCTGCTTTGACTCACCTTGGAGGTCCTTGGTCAGGCCACGAAACCAGTGATCACATCTCTCACCCATCTGGGGTGCTGGTGACCTTGGCAGAAGAAAGGCTTAAACCAGGTCAGCCTGGGGGAAGGGACTGGCTCCTTCCAGGGTCTTCCTCCAGATTAGATGTTAACTTTCCATCTCTTGCTTAAAGTCTCAGTGGCTCTGAATGTGAGGGCAGAAGGAGGAGGATGCTGTCAGGGGAGGGGACACTAATGGCTCCTGACCTGGCCTAGAGATAATCCAGGGCTCCTTCAGCCAGCCCTCCCTCCTCAGTGCCCTGGAAGTGTAGGGAGGAGCCAGTTGGGGATCCCCACAAATTAAATGGGGAATGAGAGGAGCAACTGAAAGTCTCAAATTCAGGCTATAGATGGGACCCCAGCCCTTAGGTTGCTCCCCCATACTCTCCCATCCTACATGAGATGGGCAGTGGAGGGCCAGGACAGCAACTCCAAGCCAGTTTAGGTTTTGGAGGTAGACAGTGAGGAGGCTTGCTTCTGTCCTTTGTTAGTTGAGTGCCCTTGGACAGCTCACTTACCTATTCTCAGACTCAGTTTCCCCATCTCTAAAATAAGGCTATCAATACCTACCTTCTCTGGCCATTGTCAGGATGAATGAAAGAGCTCTGGAAGTATTTCTGTAATTAGCTGACATCAGAGATTGTTATTCTCCAAGGTGAGAGGCCAGACTAGATCCCTGGCGGGGACAGTGTCAAGATTCTTTTTCCCTCCTCTGCGGTGCCCGCTCCTTCTCCAGTCTTGCGGCTGGCTCTCATCCTCCTTTCCGCAACCCCCCAATCCTCCTTGGGACCACCTTGGCTGGCCCAGCTTCTCGCAACCTGCCCTATTCCATAGGTGCCCGCATTCTAAAACCTGTAGGGGTGCCCTGCACAGGCGCACGGTTGGTAGAGGTGGGACGGGTGGCGGGGGTCTCCACTGGCCTGCGTCCGCGCCCCCTACCCTGTTTAGGAGTTCCTGTTTGGAGATGGCTCCCCCTGGTCCTCAGCTAGTCTCTGGGCTAAGCAGGGGAGGAGAGAAATAAAAGGTGGGGGGCCTGGAAGGGGGTTCCCACCTTCTCAGTCGGGGACCTGAGAGGGGGACGCAGCCCTGGCGCGCCAACGCTGCACCACCATGGGTCTCCGAGCCGTGCTCGCAGTCGCTGAGATCCTCGGTGCGGAGAAGATGTGCCCTTCCGATCCCCAGGCCGTGACCCCTTTCACCCAGACCCGGCCAATCTCTCGCCCCAGGCGAGCGGGAGAATGCGGTTCTAGGACCCGGAGGCGCAGCCGAGCGCGCCGCCGCCTCGGCCTCGCCTCGGTGGCCTCCCGCTCCGGCAGGTGAAGCGGCGCCGGCCGCCCCCTCTGCAGCAGGTGAAGCGGCTCGGCAGACCCCTCCCCGCCCGCCATGGCTGCGGGGGTCCCCGGGCCGGCGCCCGGCGCTCGCCCCCTCCCTCCAGCCCGCCCCCCTGGGGCTGGGTGCGCAGCGGCGGCGGCGAACTGCGGTTTGCGCGCACGGGGAGCGACAGCAGAAGTTCGAAAATCGCCGAGGGGGGAGCCAGCGCCGCAGCTTCCTGCCCCCGGCCCAGCCCTCTGGCCCTGGCGGCCTGCAGCCTGACTTCCTCCCCCAACCCTGCAGCTCGCCGCCCGGTCCCTCGGACGGGGCCGCCCCGATGGGACGCCGCGCCCCGGCCCCTGCGCGCCGCTGAGCCGAGCGCCCCCCGCCGCCGAGACCCCCGCCGCCGCCGCCAGCCGCTGCCCCCTCGCCCCCGCCTGGGCCGGGAGCCTTGTCCCCGTCCCCCGGAAAGCTGGATTTCCGAGGCTGGAGGCGCCTGGCCGGCTGGGTGGGGACCACCATGGGCAACGCGGCCGGCAGCACCGAGCAGCCCGCCGGCCCCGCCGCGCCGCCCCCGAAGCAGCCCGCGCCTCCTAAGCAGCCGATGCCCGCGGCCGGAGAGCTGGAGGAGAGGTTCAACCGCGCCCTGGTGAGTGCGACCCGGAGGCGCGTCGGGCGCGGCCGGGGGGCGGCAGGGGCGCGGCAGGGGCTGGGCGCGCGTCCCCGCCCCCGGGGACTCAGGTGCCGCTTGGAGATCCCCGGTCCGGCAGCTGCCCGCTCCAGGGGGTGGGAGCGACAGTGGCCTTTTTTTCAGAGTGACTTAGCACTGTCCCCCCAAAAGTTTCTTCAGTAATCGCCCGATCTCCCTCCTTAAGACACCTCCACCCCAGCTGGGTTTAAAGGTCTAAACAAGTATGTCCTGTGTGGAAGTTGGGAGCGGGGCACGCACAGGGGTCCCGGGTCGCCCCCTTCCCCACTGCACGCAGGCCCAGCGCCGAGGCGCCGGTCTGGGGCATCTGCTTTTCTGTGTCTGGGGTCAAAGATGAAAGGGTTACAACCTCCCGGGATCGGGAGACCTGCTGGAGGTGTTGGGTCCTGATTTGTTGGGCGCCTGGGCTGCGGGGAATCGGGTTATGGGCTCATGGCCCGGAGCTATCTGTGTTTCTCCCCCGCCATATGTCAGAGCCAGGGTGCCTGTGGCTCTTATCTTGGGGCATCCCTTCCAAGCCACTGAAGGGAGTAAGATGAGTGAGGGTAGGGTCAGGACGGGTGGGTCGCCCGGGGGAGGGGTGGAGCAAAATCTGGAACCACTCCCCACTGTCGCCTACCTGGGGAACTGGGGGGGGGGGGGGGCGCTGGGGAATAGGCCTCTGGGGAGGGAACCGTCAGCTCAGGCCGAGCCTTGAAACAGTCAACATGTTCAGTGGGGTGGGGGTTCCAGAGAAGACTCAGGGGTCCCCAAGACCCTGCATGAGGCAGAAGTAGGGAGGGGAAGAGCTGCTCACTCTCCCTCCCCCCACCCCCCGCCCCCATGCCCTGGCCCTGGCTCCCTCCTCTAACTAATTGCCTGGTGGCCTGCCTGCTGTCAGCCTTCCCTTGCTGGACGCTGGGTGACAGGCAAATGAGGCTGTGCCTTCTCCCAGATGCATTTCCCAGTCTGTGCAGACAGCCCTGCAGGTCTGAGGGTGGGGGTTCAACGGAGGCACAGGCCGCAGAGGGTGCTGGCTCAGTTGGTAGCCCTCCATCTCCTTGACATCATTTCCCCTCTCCTGGCCAGTCATTGGGCTGTCTAGATCCTCAGCTTGGCCCCAGAGGGTCGCCTCCTAACAGTTCCTGAAAATGTTGGCTTCTCTCTCCTCCCAAGAGAAGGCTGGGGGGAGTTTGGAGGAGCTATGGGGTGGCGAGGGATCCATCCTTGTGAAGACACCTTGCTTAATTAGAGGAGGGCAGGGACACTGAGGGATGCTTCACACCAGGTGGGTGCCTGACTTCTCCATCTCTCCACCTGCCCTGCTCCCTGCTCCCCAAGCACAGGACTTCACAAAGCTGAGCTGAGCAGATGGGGGAGGGGGGAGAATGAGGAGACACAGTCTCTGGGGGCCATCTGGGGAGCCTGTGTTGGTGGTGGGTCCTTGGACCCCTGCCAACCTGGTTGGAGGGACATGGGTCTGTCTTTCCCCCAAGTGTGTGTCTATGGGCCTCTTGGGGTGAGGTCCTCACCCCAGTCTTCTGTTTAGCACGCTGATGGGGAGGAGCCCTGTGAATAATTCTGACCAGGGGAAAATCCACAAGTCAAATGGTGAGGTTCTGATGTGTATGTAAGACTTGTTTGCCCTGCTTGGATTTGTGGCTGTAACTGATTGGCAGAGTCTGACACTAAATGCCACTGGGAGTCCCTGAGTACCGGGATGTGGAGTGGGGACACCCACAGGTGGGCCAGAGAGGGTGTGCTGGTGGAGAAAGTGGAGGTGACTAGCAGAAATTTAGGGTAGCAGCACCCACCAGGGCTTACCCCCTACTGGGTGCCCAGGAACCCCAGTGTGTTTATACCTTCTTCCTGAGGTGGCTCAGCCTGTCTTTTATCCTGTGTGGGCAGGTTAAACCCAATCTAAGGACACTTGACTAAGACCCTGGTTCCTCTCATTCCCCACCAGCAGGGGCATGAGGCTTGCCCCAGGGTAACAGCCTTGACCTCTGCCTGAGGCTGCCCAGGGCTAAAGAGTTGGTTCAACCCTCAGGTCTGGCAGTGGGTATCTCAGAGTGGGTCACAATCTGAACCCCCACCCTAACCACCATGGCCAGAGCTGAGTCCTGTCCGCGGTCAGTGTCTAAGAGGAGAAGAACCTTAGATTCCTGAGGGGTGGGCCCACTGCCATCAGTGGTCCCCACTCTCCATGGGAGAAGCACAGTCCTGCCCTCAGGGATTTGGTCCAGCAGCCCCAGGGAACCTCTTCCTTCCCATTTTGTCCCTAGTGGGGCGTAGGATCCTGAGACCCTAAACTCTCCTTCCTCTCCTGGCTGTGGGACCTCTCTTGTGGGTGAGGGATGTCCCCACTTACAGCCAGACAGGAGGTGCAGGGAGCCCTTCTCCCATGCAAGGGTGGGTGGTGGGGGGCTACCTTTCCAAGAAAGCTGTGAAAGAAAGGGGTGCCCCTTGCTTAAAATGGGGGTGGAGAGAAAGAGCAGGTTGAGCCAGGGTTTCCGGCTGCTGCCTTAGCAACAGCAGAGGAGCAATGGCTGCCCAGCCCCACCGGCCTGCTGCGATGGTGGGAACACCAGCCGGCGGGGCGCCAAGCTCTCGCCTCTCCCACGCCCATGCCCAAGGCTGGGTGTCTTCCAGCCCTTTCATGCCTTCCCCTGGGAGGCATGCAGGGTCAGGGACGGGGATGACAAGGCGACCTTTCCAGGCGTGCCAGAAGAGCCACGCTTACACCTGGGCCTGGGATATCCCTGATCTGCCGGGCAGGGAGAATTCCATAACCTTGGGGCAGAGGGATCAAGGGAAGGTGTCAGGGGTGGTGTGCGTGAGGCCAAGAGCCATGCTGGCACAGTAGCAGTGGAGAGGCATTTGCCTGATGGGTGTTTAGCTTGTGCCCAGGGGCCGGGGTGCCTGGCCAGGCTGTGTGGGCAGGTCAGGATGGCCCCATGTTGGGTTTGGGCCTGGAATCCTGCTTGCAGCTGGGGCTCTTCCCTTCTGGGGCTGGCAGTAAAGGGCAGGAGGGACTGCAACTGAGGCACTGGCCCCCTGGCCACTCCCACCTCCGGGACGGGGCAGATGAAGTGTGGGGACACAGAGCCATGGGGTCGC